CACCCCGCAGCCCGCGGACCCGGCCACTCACCCAGGGCCCTGGGCGTCGTTTCCTGGGACAGCGCTGGGGGCTGGGCCTGTCTGCCTTTAGATTCCCTCGTCTATGAACTGTCTCTGGTTTTTGCCCATTTTACTATTGGGCTTCTAGACTATTTATTTGTAGTAGGATTTTGTTTCTCTACATGTAGTTTGTAACTGGTTATATGTATTCTAAATATTTTTTCACTTTGTTTGCATCTCTTTTCTTTTCCAGAAATTTCTTTTATGGACAGCACCTAATGTGTCATTTATGAAATACGGTATATAATCTTCTGGTATCTACTATTTCTACTTCTGATTTCTATTGCAACCTCTTTGTTTATCCCTCAGTTACAGAAGGTTTTTTTATCAACTTTTTAATTTCCAAAAAAGTGGGAATGCGTGGAACAGGAAAAACTTAAGTCCTGTTTATGCTTCTGATTACTAATTTATTACAATTTGTTCAGAGTTGCCAATGTAGTATGTTGATTCTTTAAAATTTGGGGACTTGGCTTGTAACTAGTATGTAAGTAATTTTTAATAAATACTCCATGCATCCTTGAAAAGAAAGGGTAGAAAATCCTGCATCACACAGAGTCTAGTCTAAAACAGATAAGCTTCTTATCTTCCTGTGCTGAGTGGCAGTCCACATTTTACTCAGGTAAAATTTTAATGGAGAATTTTGAGGTTATCAAATTATTACCATTAATAGACAACAGAATTAAAAGTTTTTACCAGATTAAAAAAGATTTAATAGATTATATTTAAAAAACTACCTATATAAAAGCATCTAGCCTTAATAAAAATATATTTTGCTTTTATTAAATTAATAAAAACTGTAAGAGCTTTGAAAAGGTTACAGGTACACAAAATGTATTTCTCTATTGGTAGGTAGGGCTGCAGTTTTTTGCTCCTTAAAAACTCTATACAGTCTTTCATTATTCACATTCTGTATATTATATGTATTAGGGAACAGTTATTTTCTTAATACCACATAGAATTGCTTTTTTCCTTTATCTTAATTTGCAGAAATACATCAAAGGGAATTTATTGCTTACCAATTTGCTTTCTGTACTGATCGACAGGAAGTTTTATGGTGGAGGCATCTTTTCTACCCATCTTCAATCTCCAAAATGCCTTCTGCAAAGACAAAAAATTATGATGAAGCCCTAAAAAATCAAAAGCACTATCTACAAACTTCAGGAATAACTTATTCCATAAAATTAGTTTTTAAAGCCATGGTAAAAGTGTCTTTCACTTTTTCCCATTAGATATTAATAAAGAACACAAAATTATTTCAAATAAATTATCAAGGATACAATTGCTGGTAATTAAATTTCCCAATCATTTGTTCTGGGTAACACTCATTTTATCAAGTACTGTCAATGCTCAAACCACACGGAGAGAGTATTATCTGCAAATGTGAAAATAATGCAGTATTTGTTCACACGGCTTGAGGCTGTAGGCATGCTCTTGACAGTGTGTTTGTTTCTTTCCAAGGCTCAAGTTTGAATCTCAGATACTTGGAATTTTGTTTTATAGAACACGACATAGGTTAACAAAAGTACAGGAATGTGAGTTCCAGCTCTGCCTCCCTTTCTGTAAACAGTTTAACCACTACCACTTCCTATTCCTAGTCTTGCTGCACTGGAAGCACTGTTTGATCTAATCCACCACATAGCCTTCAAATCCTACTGTTTTTACTGAACAGACACATTTTATATGCACAATAACCTATGAATATAAAATCTTGAAAAGAATTTCAACCTAGGAAATTAATGAAAGAGAAACAAATTTTAAATTTTTGTTCCTACTTTTTTAGGCATCGGTAATCCCTAATCAAAATGTCAAAAAATGTGAACTTCATTTTTGTCTTTGAAATGATCAAACTCTGTTCTTTAAGGAAAATAACATTCTACCAAATTTTGAAACAAAAGTGCCTAGAGAATGCACGCATGAGCAAATGGTTCACATTTTATTAGCTGCCACAGACACAGAGTTAGAAAACCCTATACTTTCCTAATGAAAACACTGAAGCTATTTTAAATGATCTAAAGAGACACCCATTCATGTGTATGGTGCACACTGTCAGTGCCGCAGACATCTAGACCCTGTAAAATATTCTGACTTTTCTTTGTTCTTCAAAGCCTTGCAGTGATCACCACTCTTCTACTGCTCTGACGGTTAGGTAGCAAGCTCCCGAGACATCCAGGGAGACGAGCGCGCGCGCAGCCCGGGTTTCTAATAAGACATCTATTTGCATGCAGCACCAGCCGCAATTTAAAACTGCTCTGAGAGAGGTGGGAAGGGAATAACAGGCTTATATTAGCATGTACAATATCAAGACTGTTTTCACAATTTAATTCCTCAGAGAGGACATCTCATCACCTTCTCTTACAAAGAGCCCCACAGTCCCTGAGGAACTAACTTGCTCTGAGACCTAAACAACTAAAATATGAATTAATAAGAAAATATTTATTATTTATGAATTTTGCTGTAGGAATGATTTTAGATTAAATCATCAGGGTTTTTAACATTCTTGAAACTTGATCACACACACTTGAGAAAGAAAATACTAATTTTAATACCTAAAATTGCATATTAAAATAATTCATAATTTTTTACTTAATTAAAACTTTATACTCTTTAGAACTTTTAAGATTAAAAAGTGTTGCCCATCTGGTGTGGCTCAGTGGCTGGGCATCAACCATGAACCAAGAGGTCACCGGTTCAATTCCGAGCCAGGGCACAAGCCGGTTGTGGGCTTGATCCCCAGTAGGGGGCATGCAGGAGGCAGCCAGTTTTCTCGATGTTTTTCTCTCTCTATCCCTCTCCCTTCCTCTCCCTCAAAAAAGTGTTTTTGTTTTGCCCTGGCTGGTGGCTCTGTTGTTTGGAGCATCGTCACAAACACCATGAGGTTGCAGGTTCGACTCCAGGCCGGGGCATATATGTAGGTTGTACATTCCATCCCCAGTTGGAGTGCATATAGGAGTCAACTGATTGATGTTTCTCTCTCTCTCTAAAAAAAAATAAACATGTCCTCGGTTGAAGATTTTAAAGTGTCTTTGTTTTTAATATCCTTTCTTAAACTGTTTTTGCACAGCAATTTGCTACATGCATTTTTTAAAAGTCTATTTTTACTATTGAAACTATTACAGATGTCCCCATTTCCCCCCCTTTGCCCACCTCCACCCAGCCCCACCCCCCTTTCCTGTGGCCATCAGCAGGCTGTTGTCTGTGTCTGTGGGTTATGCATTCTTTGGCTAATCCCCTCACCTTCTTTCATCCCTCCCCCTCCCATCACAACTGTCAGTCTGTTCCATGTATCCATGCTTCTGGTCCTATTTTGTTCCTTGGTTTATTTTGTTCACTAGATTCCCCATATAAGTGAGATCACATAGTATTTGTCTTTCTTTGACTGGCTTATTTCACTTAGCATAATAATCTCCAGGTCCATCCCTGCTGTTGCAAAAGGTAAAAGTCCCTTCTTTTTTACAGCTGCATAGTGTTCCATGGTGTAAATGTCCCACAGCTTTTTATCCACTCATCTACTGATGGGCACTTAGGTTGTTTCCAGATCTTGGCTGTTGTAAATAATGCTGCTATGAATATAGGGGTGCATATATTTTTAAGCATAATACATGACCTTTAAAAACAAACAAAACCAGTGTCATAGTTAATCACATTCCAAGCAAGTTATTTTATTGGTCATTCATATCCTTATGAAATCTAGAATGAAAAAGTAAAGTAATAAGAAACCTGAAGCCAGCACATGTCTCTGCTTCCAGAAAAAGCATTCCATCTAGACTGTGACATTTAAATACAGATCAAAACAGGTGATTTAAAAAGTCCAACCTCTAACCCCAGAAAAATGATCACATCAGTTTTTAATGCACTATCAAACCCAGCTCTCAGCTCCATGACTTTGGCAAGCCCATCCATGCTCATGAATTTACTCAGGCTCTGGTTTCCTTTCAATATCACTCCCATACTCCCCAACTTGCGGAATCTATCTTTTAACATTTCAAGCAAGGGTAGGTACATAATTAGATCTCCCGAGATAATTCTCCATACGCAAAGAAATGAAGAAAATAGCCAATTTAAAACACTACCAAAGGGCAGCACATCATCCAAGTAGAGAATGTAAACCCGGAGATAAGTACAAGACTGAGGGAAGTTGTTATATGGATGAACAAATTCCTCCTGCATTAAGTGGAGAGCTAACCAGTGGTCTTCTCAATGTTCTCAGGGACCAAAGTGACCGCCTCATCTTTACCTCACCAAATTAACTTCCTTTATAGCTACAGAAAGACTGTGGGGGAAAAAACTTCAATGTGTGAAAAGGTGATTTCTAAAATCTGATCACTTGCCAACACTGATATAAAATTTCATAAGGAAAGTAACTGCAGGACAGTTACATGTGTAACCCCAGAAACACATGTTCCAGGAAAGGAATCTCAGTCATTGGGACTAAACCTCCAGCCACATCATGGCGCTAAAACGAATACAATATCAGCAATGGTGCTGGAGCAACTGTGCATCCTTATGGCGAAAGCAAACAATCAAACAAAAAACCTGGACCCCAATCTCACACCACACACAGATCAACTGAGGATGGGTCACAGACCTAAAAGAAAGAGCTAAAACAATAAAGCTACTAGGAGGAAAAAAGAGATGATCTTCATGAACTTGGAGCAGGCGAGTAGCTCTTGGAGGAACACAGGTGGTTCAGATCATAAAGGCAAAGGAGGACATACTGGACGTCCTCAGATTAGCTCCTGCTCATCAAAAGGTACAGCAAGAAAGGAATCAGGTGAGTTATTGACAGGAAGTAAATGTTTATAATACCTGCATCTGACCAAAGAATCTGCAGCCAGAATGTATAAAAATCACTCAATAATCTAAAATACAACTCAGTACGTGAAAGAAGTGAACCGAAATTCCGCCAAAGATACACAAATGATAAATAAGCACATCAAAAAGTTCCCAACGCCACCAGTAATCAGCAAAACGCAAATTAAAACTCCAATATCACTACACACCCACTAGCATGGTTCAGATAAAGATTTACGATACAAAATACTGGGAGGATGTGGAACAACTGAAACTCTCGTACACTGCTGACGGGAGTGTGAAATCACACCACCACTTTGGAAAATTGTCTGGCAATTTCTTACAAAGTTAACTACCGGCAATTCCACTCCTAGGTATTTCTCTAAGAGAGACAAATATATATGTCCATAAACAAGCTTTATGCAAGGATGTTCACAGCATCGTTATTCCTAAGAGCCAAAAATTGAAAACAGCCCCAATACTGACTGATGTAAGAACTGTGGTTTATTCACACAGTGTAATATACTGCTCAGCAAGGTAACTTGTACTATGTGACAACGGAGATAATATGAAAAACACTGTGCTGAGTGAATCAGTGGCTCCTTGGGACCCAAATGAAGGGCATTCGCCAGTTTCACAGGTCATTGGACATCATTTAACAGCGGTGATCCCTGTTCCTTCCCTCCGGGCTAGGGCTAGGGCTAGGGCTAGGGTCAGGCTTAGGAGTTAGGGAGAAGTAGGTACGGGGTAGGCCGTGAGGGTACAGGAGTGTTATAAATCTGTCATAAAAATGTTTACAATTGCTATAAGAAGGCAATACACTTGTCTATTCTGGAACCTAATCATTGATCCAAACATAATTACATCACAAATCCCCTGGTACCCACCAAAAAGTACCCACAAATATTTTTGCTTACTTTTATTTTAATGCCTTTTTAATGCACAGATCGCTGTGGCAGCTGGACACGACATACTTGAAAACAACACATTAAATTTACACTGCCCTGAATAAACAAAAGGTGCCTTGCATGTACCACCAGTAATGCCCTTCTTTGGGGGGGAGGGGGGGTTCTGTTTTAGCTTGTTCCCATCAAATTATTTTTTAAAGTTCTATACTTTATACAAATATCAAAGAAACAGGCATTTTGAATCTGGGAGGGAGAGAATTTCTATCAAGTAAGGGGTCATTTTCATAAGCAAAAAAATGATCACTACTATTTACCAGGGTTTAAACTCAGCAAAATGGAAAATGAACTTCAGTAAATTTCTTGTATTATATTTGTAAAAGGAGATAGGTTAGTTAAGCTAAGATTGGCCTAAGATATA